AACTTTAGGACACCATTAATTGTAGTTTAAATGTTGAATAATTGTTAAGAATTACAAAATAACACCCTGAATTAATAGATTTCCCACTTACTACATCGTTATTTTCTTCTGTATTTAGTGTTCTATGACAGACTAAAAAAAGTCATTTAAATAAGTGACTCACAAGATTAAAGAAAATCAATTATTTTAAACTACTGATTTATATGCCCAAATGTTTTTTAGTAATATTAGTGTATAGAGAATGAATAAAAATAGAAAATTTCATGAGAGGAAACAATTATTACAAATTCTTACATTTTTATAAATAAATTTATTTAAATCTCTATATAATATTTCTATTCATTATTCAGGCAATTTATGTATAGAGAAATGTAATGTTATGAGATAAGGCTAATACATACTAAAATATAAGTGACTAGCTGCTAGATTTCATATAAAGTTTCTTAATGACTTCCTGAGTAAAACAATTGGATCATTTTTCCTGTGTGAAATTATATCATTTTGAACTATAGAACCAAGTTCAGATTTTTACTACTTAAATGCTCAGTTATATTAAAACAGTTTTAATACTTTTAGAAATTGTGTTGTTTTGTGAAAATTGGGGTAATTATTAAGTTAATCATCATTCAAATTATTATTTTTCAAGAAGCATCCTTGATTCCGCTTGTATGGAAGAGGTAGCTGCAATTTTTGTTTGGGGGAAAATGAGTGTGTGAGTAATCATAGGATAACAGATAGGGTGGTGATAACTAAAAATGAACTCGATGTAGAGAAAATCCTTTTGAGGTCAGTAATTCTTTCTATAAGTTTAAAGTGATGATGGTGGCAGTTTCCTATGAATTGATGGAAAGTATAAGTTACAAAAGGAGAGTAAGGACCACAGTGATTATAGGCTAAACAGAAATTACAGTAGTTGTAGGTTAAATTGAGGTGGTACTGGTCGTGGTTGTGGATTCAGCTGAAAAGACTCAGTTAATCATAGGCTCCATTAAAAAGATGGTGAAACTGGTGACTGTTTCGGTTGCCAGTTAAGTTCAAGTTGCAGTGGCATCTGGTGTTTATTGTTACCATTATAGAGCCTATTAAAGTGGTGGCATCTGTGTTTCAAGTAGCTGTTGTGTTTGTAAACTGAGTAGAGAAGACCAGATGGAGACTCAATTGAAGTGATGATCATAATCACTCAAGTGATAGGTTATGCAGTAGTTGTAGCACTGGTGGCTGGTGTGGTTTCACTTGAAGCTGCTGCTGATGTAATTTCGGGTTGAGTAGAGGCAGCGGTTGTGGCTGATTCTGCTGTAGTTTCAGTAGAAGTTGCAGAGGTTGTAGGCTGGACTCAAGTGGCTGTGCTTGTGAGTGCAGCTGAGGTTGTGGTGACTGTTGTGGTTACAGGTTGAGTTGAGGTAATGGTTGTGGTTGGTGCAGCTGTAGTGGATGCTACAGAGGTTGTTGGCTTGATTGAAGTGGCTGTACTTGTGGACACAGCTGAAGTTGTGGTGATTGTTGAAGTTGCAGTTTCAGGGGATGTTGCAACAATTGTAGAGGCTTTGGAAGTCGTGGCCACCGTGGTTTGAGAAGTAGTAGAAGTTGTTTCAGATGTAACTGTGTTTGATGGTGGCTAGATAACAATAGGGGAATTATTTCTATTCACTAAGCTTAGTATAAGTACTCCAATTGCTGTTGTTTGTATAGAGGCTAAAAGACAAGCCAGGAAGATTTTCCATAGAGAGCAATCACTGCAGCTATTTCCCTCTACCTAAGAAAAGTGTAAACTGAAATAATTAATAAAGGCCAAAAATGTTTGTTATTTATCATCTCTTTGTATTACTTACGGGTTATTGCAGTAGCATTGCTTGAATCTCTAAGAATGGAACTTCCAGCTTGGACATCCAGGTTATATCCACATGGAAGTAATATGCTTTCCCTAATGCTGAGACAAAGATAAATTTTCCACTATCACTTTTCTCAATGTATTCTCTTTTGCTTTTAAAAAGTAAACTTTAAATTTTAGAGAAGCTTTAGATTTGCCAAAAAAAAAAAAACTAAAGGGAAGATACATTTACACCTTGTATCCAAATATGCAGATTCTCCCATCGTCATCATCCCTTACCACAGTAGTGCACTGTGACAACTGATGAAATACACTGTCATAAAATTAGTACCCAGAGTCCTTGCTGTTCTTGAAGGTTCACTCTTCATGTTTTGTATTGTATGAGTTTTAACTACCCTTTCTCTTGGATATAATACTTCATAACTTCCCTAATAAACATTCTAATCTCTTTCATTTTATGCACACATGCACAAATTCCCTCTGATTCCAAATCCATTGCTAACTACTTTTCTATCTCTCTGAAAAACAAAATTTTCTGAGCATTGTCTTAATGCAATGGTCCATATTAGCACTTTTCAACCAAATGCAGTGTGGCATCAGCTCCCAACATGCCACTAAAATGTCAGCAATGACATTCATACATTAAAATCTTTTTTATTTTATTTACTTTTATTTTATGTGTATGAGTGTATTTCCTACATGTATGTAAGGGCACTCATGTCATACAATGCCCACAGAGGTCAGAAAATGGTGTCGGATCCCCTAGAACTGAAGTTATAGATGGTTGTTAGCCACCATGTGGGTACTGGAAACTGAACCCAGGTCCTCTGCAAGAGCAGCTAGTGCTCTTAACCATTGAGTCATCTCTCCAGCCCCAGTACATTAAAATCTTGCTGACATGTCAAACTCTCTTCTTACTTAAGCTTCTGCAACAACAGCCAATGGGGACCATGTTTTCTTTCTCTGGAAACTTCACTTTGTTTTACTTCTGTGATAGTGTAGTATGTCAGTTTCTTCCTAGTCTCCAGAATCTTCTCAATTTCTTTTGAAAGCTCATTATTCATTTTCAGCCTTTGCAATTGATGTTTCCAGACTTTGTCTCTTTCACTCTTGGCTTAAGAGTGAGTAACTTTTTTTCTATGTGAATTTCTGTTTGGGGACCCTTTTGGTTCTGTCACAATTACTCCAATCTGCCATTAGTGTGAAAGCAGTCACTATGTATAGTTTAATATGAGTGAGGCTGTATTTAACTAAAACTTTGTTTAACTAAAACTTTATTTCCAAAGTCAAATGGTGGGCAGCATCTGGCCAATCTTGTATCCTTCAGGCTGTCTTATCATTCCCATGGTTTAATTACCACCCATAACTGTATGATTCTCAAGTTTATCTCCAGTCCATCCTTCTCTCACTTCAAATGATTGCAGATATCACTCCTTTGATATCTCAGAAATGCCACAAACTCACAAAATAATTTTCTTTTCAGTGAAACCTGACCAGATTCCATGTCTCCAGAAACATTACCTGCCCTATTCATTCCATTCACTAACTGAAACAAAATGATCATCCTTGAAGTCTCCCAACCCATTACCAAGCCCTGCTAACTTCTAGTGTTGTTTACTTTCTCTTCATTTCTGCTGACACCCCTAGTCCAAGCTTCTTTTGTCTCTGCCTTGAGCTTAAGCAATGGCCTTAGGGATCACACTGGCTTCTGCTCAGTTTCCTAATGCACTTGTATCATGCTAACTTGGTTAAACAGGTCTTTGGCACAAGCAATTCTATCATTTAAGAATGCTGTCTCCAATCTTCATCCACCATCAAGAATGCCAAATAGAAAATGTTCAACATGCTATAGTGTCCACCTTTTTTTTTTTTTTTATAAATATCTCTGCATTTGCCAATGATTATGTTATCAGGAAAGCCATGATGCAGGGTAGGAACTCTCATAAATTTTCTTAGTCTTTTCAGTTCTTTAAGGAATACTGATTTTCAGTTGATTATTAACTTTTAATAATCTTTACAACTTCCAGTTCTTCAAATTGTAAATGGCTGCCTAGAACCATGTATGAGCAACTTTCAAAAATTTTGTTGTGTGAACTCCACCCCCAGAGTTTCTGATTTAATAGATCTAAGGTAGAGCTAGGCATCGGCCTTCAGTATATCTTACACAGCTGTGGGAGACAGGCTTGAGCCTAGGGTGATATTGCAACTATCAGGGTCACAAGGTTTCCAGGAATCCAGGCTCTGTAATCTGAAACCCAGTATGCTACCTTCTATTCTGTGATAGGATGTTAAGTCTGCTATGCTAATAGGATGATGCTAATAAGGTATCCTACCTGCTATATTGTGATAGGATACTAAACCTGTTACACTAATGAGGTATCCTACTTGCTGTGCTGTGATTGGACTACTATCCCTATATAAGCTTGTGCCTTCCTGCAATAAAGCAGACCTGTGTCATTGAACCTGGTCTCCTGTGTCTGAATGTGGCTCCACTGACACAGTCTCCTCACCAGCCCTGGGGTCTGGGACAGGGCAGAAGCGGTGATGACAGGAGGCAGCACAGGGCAAGCAGAAGAGCTGCCTCAGCACCAGGTGAGCAGAAGAACGGCCTCAGCCCAGGGCAGGCAGAAGAGTGGTCTCAGCCCAGGGCGAGTGGAGGAGCAGACTCAATGCCCGTGAGAACGGAGGAGCAGCACCCATGAGAATGGAGGAGCGGCTGCCACTGGCAGTGACCACACACAGTCTCCAGTTGACTCCACTATGTAGTCAGGGTTTGAAGCTAAATTAAGAATTACTAAGAAGTCTTTCAATTCTGTGATTGCTATGGCTACTTAACCGCTGCAAACAGAAGACATGTACTGAATTGCTTTCATTCTTTCACCCACCCTGGTCTCAGAAATAATATAAATGGTTGACATTTTTATCCATAATCAGGAAATTAGGGTCAAAGTCTTTCTTCTGATTCAAGCAAGATTATGTAAGGGAGAATAGAGATCAGAACTGGGGAACCCAAACAAAGGCGTAGTGGTTATTTATAGTCAAGTCTTGTTTCTATACAAGGGCTAAAGACTCAGGGATAGAATCATGAGGTAAATTAATTCAGCCAGTTAGCCATGAGGTCAAGAACTAAAGTTGCATATGACCTCCAAAGCTAGAAGAAAATCTCCAAAGAACAGTTAGGCTTCTAGGTAAAGATCACATTCAATGAAGGTCAGAACTCAGAGTCCTAGAGTGTCACGCCCAGCTACAGGAGCTGCAAGAGAATACCTTGTGAGAAAATCAAGCATTCACCCATAAAGTAAGATCTTTGAAAGCTTAAATAAGATAGCTTTCATATCAAAGTCTAAACAGAGTTACACACTACATTGCTCCTCTTCTCACTCCCCAAATGTGCAATTGGAACATATATTTACATTTCATGTAGTACTTTTTCCTCTATTTTCATTCATATTCTCTGTTTATAGTGAACATTTGAGTTCAACACTAAAATAGTTGTTCTAAAAAAATAGACTATCAAATCATATTCTTTCCAGGAACTGCCTCATAGTGACTTATAATTGTAAAGAGAATACAGCAATGCTTAACGTGAATGTAGACAAATCAATAATTACATTGCCTAAAAAGAACAGACTAAGTAAACCTCTCTGTACAGCATATCCCAATCTGAGGAAATGCTGTGACATCACACATTACCTGTGCGTTGCATGGTTCTGGGAGTTGGCATTCTGAATGTGTAAGGATTCCTGGGCTCACCCAGCCCCCAGACATGTTAGAAGGGACATTTCCAGTTGCATCATTTGAAGGTAGACACCAGCATGTGTGACTCTGGGCTTCTTGGCCATTTGTGCACATGCCTGGCTGCAGAGATGAAGCATAAGGGAGCAAAAACACATGATTGCAATTCCACAATTAAACTCTCCTGTCAAAAACAAATACAATGTGACTTTAAAAAGAAATGAACATCTTTTTATCCTTTAAGAACATTCTATGTAGATATTACACATTACCTTTAAGCCAATTTTTATGTACCAGCTGAGAAATGTATATCATTGCTTTACTTCATGAGATTTCACAAATGTTAAAGATTCTCATGTTGCAAATAACTGTAGGTGGGACAACTATGCTCATCCAAAGTTGACCAGGTGGAACTTGTTCAAGTCCCTTTGGAAATGGAAATGTTGAATCAAAAAGAATTGAATCAATTTGTTGTCACTAACAAAAGCAATTACTGGAGCTCAGACGTTCTTGTGTTAAGAACACTGTTACTTCCTTGAACCACACTATGCGTTGTACACTGCTATGATGTACTTTACTAACACAGTATATATGGTGTGTGTTATACCTCACAGTACTCGTGAAAAGTTTCCCAGTGCAACCCCTTCCCCTTCCCACAATTTAACCCACACTATATTCAACAGAACTTATGACTCCATGTCAGGGAAAAATCATTTGTCTTATTAATGATCTGTATGTGCTATGCTCTGCTTAGACATAGAAAAACTCTACACAGCAATAAAACTTCATTTCTCAAGGAATCTATTTGCTACAGGGAGGCAAAGAGGATTTGTAGAGAGTTGAAAAATCGTTACAATATTTGTAAAATGTAAAAAGGGGATAGGTGAGGATTGAAAATGAACGAGTTCTGCAGGAAAGGCTTCAGTCAGTGAGGGTTGTTTTGTTTTGTTTTGTTTTGAAGTATAGAGTGAGGGGGATAAGAAAACAAAGTAAGCTAGACTTGGTGGTCAATGCCCTTAATCCCAGCACTTAAGAGGGAGAGACAGGCTTTTCACAGCTGCCAGCTTCCTGGTCCTAGCATCTTTCCTGGGTGGGTCCTGTACCACCCTCTGCACCATGACTCCCCCAGCCTCATTCACCCTACTAGCTCCCCAACCCCATCTCTCCTCCCAGCCTGGGTACTGGCCCATTTCTTGTCTTGGCACCCCAGACCCCTGGACTGATCTCTTGGCCCAGAATTCCCACTGCTTCCTGATCTTTTGCATCCAGACCAACCCAGTTCCTCCCAGTAGTCCCCAGGAGCCCTAGGGGCCTCTACCTGACCACCCCTCCCTTTGCATCCCTGAGGGGCAAACCACCAGCTTCCTGGGACCAGCATCTTTCTTGGGCGCTGGTCTCAGTCCAGCCCAGCCCCCAAAGTCCTGAGGGCAGCATCTTTCCTGGAGGGATCCAGACCTTAGAAGAAAGAATGAGAGTATCTGATCCTAATCTGACTGGGTCCTCTGTGGGAACTCCTCAAAAAAATGTTAGTTATTTCCATTGCCATTGATTGTCCCCAGAACTAGACAGTAAGGCCGTAATCCTGAAGACACTACATGCACAAGTCATAGGATAACCATAGAGGAAAAGAGCTGGTATTGCTCAAAGCTTCACCTCTATTGCTTATCTCTTGTAGTCTGGAAGGTGCTGTCCATGCTACTGGAAGAGAAAGGTAATCACTGCCTTTAGCCATATGTGAACCCTGGGAGCTGTGCAATAGTGGCGTGAATGTTATGGGAGTAACTAATTTCTTTCTGATTGAAATTAAGGTCCATTTCACAATATGGAGCCCAGACCTGACATTTTAATTAGTGCCAAGAGCCTGTGGCTACATAGACCACTGGCCATAGGTGAAAACCTGCTACTATTACCTTGATAAAGGGACATAGTATTAAACCCACTCCTAACAGCTTATTGTTTTATCCATAGATTAGTGCATCTCTCAGCTCTCTCCAGAGACTCTTTTTCTTGAAGCAGATGGTGATTAACACTGAGGCCCAAAACTGGTCATGATGCAGAGAATAAGAGACTGTGGAGTGCTCAACCATAAATGGGATATCTGCGGAAATATTGTGCTAGAGGTGATGGTGGATGAATAGAAGGAAACTGTCTTCTGGATGAAACATGGCTGTTGCACATGTGAGTCCATAGCCTTTTTGACAGCATGATCAAGATCTGTGGATGCTGAAGCCAGACAAAAACTCCGCATGGAATGGGAAGGTGGGCAAGTAGCCTTAGCCCCAGCTGTGGAACTTGGCAATTGATAGCTGCTTTAAGGAGAGTTGGTTTTCTTTAAGGGTGTGACCTGGGGTAGGTTGACTATGTTCCAAAGGATGGATCCACACCCAAGGACATTTGGGGAACACAAAGGAGACTTGTTAGGTCTTAAAAAATAATAGAGAACATGGAGGTTATATTTAATAGGGTAGAATCTGAAAGGAGATAGGGAAGGAAGCCCAGATATGATCAAAATATATTGTGTAAAATTCTTAAAGAATTTTCACTTGACAGTGAGGCAGTAATCCTGAAGACACTACATGCACAAGTCATAGGATAACCATAGAGGAAAAGAGCTGGTATTGCTCAAAGCTTCACCTCTATTGCTTAGCTCTCGTAGTCTGGAAGGTGCTGTGCATGCTACTGGAAGAGAAAGGTAATCATTGGCTTTAGCCATATGTGAACCCTGGGAGCTGTGCAATAGTGGCGTGAATGTTATGGGAGTAAATCAGAATATATATTTTAAATTTTCTTTCAAAACTTGTTTTATTTTTAATTTGGCATTCCATATGTAAAACTATATGAAAAGTTTGTCATCATTTCCTTCTGATGTTATGCAAAGCACAAGATCAATTCTTTCTAGGATGGGAGCTTAAATTTTTAGATTACTATATATTCTAAGATTCTCTCATTCACTGCAACAGAAGTGTTTTCTTTCACCATTAAAGAAGAAAGTCATATGCCTTATACTGATGTCTATGTAGCACAGTTTTATTCTTTATTTGTCTTCATGTTCAGGTAAAGATAGATGCTGTGACCTACAATATGATTAATTTTGTCTGAGACTGAAAATATTTATTGAAAATTCATATATTGATAAGAATCTGTTTAGTATATCAATAAAAAATGTCTAACTCCTCAGAGAAGATTTTCTACTCATATTGGCATTTGTATATTACCATAATAAGTTATGCTTTCACTAAATTAAGCAAAGAATAAATAATCTTCTTGTCTTTGAAACGTTTGAATTCATGCAGGGTGTTTTCCTTTATACTCCTTACAGGTAAAATACAATTTTTTAAGAGCCTACTCTCTCTGGTAAATATTCTTGGCTTACCTTTTAGCTTGTGTGATTACAATACTTACCATACTCATTGTACATCTGGTATATAAAGGGGGGACGAATACCAGTCCAGTCATTATCCACAACTTATAAATTATGCCACACCTGGGATAATTATTCCTGAGCCCAGAGTGACTATTACAATGACCTTACTATTACAACCACAACAACTGCATCAACACTGAGTGCAGTCACCAAAAACTGAATCTATAGGTTCAGGATATCTTCACAAACTTACTGTCATAGTAGCTATTACTACAATGTCAGCCAAACACATCCCACCACAGTAACTATTCTGTTTTCTGAACTTGAAACTAGCATTACTTTTCCTGAGACTATAAATACTACAGTTTCTTCTGGACTGATCATAACAGCCACAAAAACTTTGATGGAACCCACAAATATCAATTTCTACTAGCTGACAACTGTAATATTGATGCCAACTCCTTCAGCTAAATCTATAAATGCCAGCTTTCTTAGAGCACAAAGTATACTAAAAATCACCCAATATTTGTTTAATATATGATAAGAATATCAGATACAATAATAACCCCTGTAGTTAAATCTACAACCAGAATATCTACTCCATTTTAGTGGAATTAATGTCATAATAGTTGGCAGATGAAATTGCCCTGTGACTCACCTGAATGTGCTCCTGGTGCATCAAGGCCATGGCCAAGGCTTTGACTAGGGGCAAGACTGGTGGAGTGAAGGCATCTGCCAACACTCACAGTTTAGCCCAGAGCCAATCAGTATATCAATGCCACACTGACACCCAAATCTACCTCATTGTCTTTTGTGCCTATTAAGTCTTATTTTCACCAGGATTGATTTCTTTGGGGCAAAAATCTGATAATATCCCTAAAAATTCAAAGTACTATATTTTGCTGTCTTTAGGTCTAAAATTATTTTATTTACGTAATTTTCCCCTGGCAATTTTGCTGTTTGGCACCCATAGCTGCTATAATATTGTTTTCTGTTCAGCACTTAAACTTACAAGCCCTCAGTTAAATATCAGACATGTGCCAAGTACCCAACTCCCAAGATAGCAAAGGAAGTACAGAAGAAAACACAATGCAGAAAGATTCCAATAATAATTAATTTGAATATGTGCTTTCTTCTTAGGGTTCTTGGGTATTATGGATGTTTAAATTGATTGTACTATTTTGGGGGCTTTACCTTTGCTTATTGCGTCAAAATCAAAGAGAGAAAGTCAGGAAAAATATGTGTTTGTAAATACCTGCAGAGTTGATGCCAATGCATGACCAGATTTAAGTTATAAGCCCAATGGATAAATCAAAGAGACCAGTCTGTCATGTTATATCATACTATTGGGCTTGGTGAAGTTGATATAAATTATAAAATATCTTTAAAATCATTAGAAGTAAAATCTACATGAATGTTTGTCTGCATGTATATATGTGCACCACGTATGTGCCTAGTGCCTATGGAGGCCAGAAGAGTGTGTCGGATTCCCTGGAGCTAGAGTTACAGGCAGTCGTGAGCTGCCATATTGGTGCTGAGAACTGAACGTGGGTCCTCTGCAAGAGCAGTAAGCTCTCTTAACCACTGAATCATCTCTCCAGCCCCCCTAAAATCCAATTTTAAAACAAGAAAGAAAACATAAAATAAAATACTATCAATCTTAACCCAATTTATGGAAAAACAATTTATTTGAGGTATATAATCTCATTTTACTTAGAAAATGGAGAAAATATTTCAAGTGAAAATTTAAAGGATACATTCAACAACTACTATGGCAATAATAATTCCCATCAGGGTGCATAAGAATACTTCTTAACAAGCTGTGTTGGAAATTTTACTAATCTGTAAATACACATAGAAATTGTAGTGTGTAATGACTAGAAATACACAGAGCTATGGGCTGCAGACTGTGCACTTCATTGAACATGTTGAATATGTTGTAATTCAATGTTAGATGAGATCACAGGTGCTTGTTAGTATTAGAATTGGCTTTCTAAGTGTCAAGCTGCATACTGAAGCATTTAATGAGAAATATAAGCATTAATTAAGAAGAGTGATTACCTCTGACAGGAAGGGCGAGAAGGTGGGTGGACAGCATGTTCAAGAACAGATGGCTTTAATTGTACCTGAGAAAATGGTCTCTCTGATGCTGGGTGCTGGCTATTTTCAAGGTTGTTCTTTAAAAGGAATAGGTCTGTGCTCATGTATGTGAAATGCTTCTTAACACACTTTTAAAAAATAGTGAGATTTGGATATTATATGTGATGTGCAAAATAGATCAGAAAGGATTCAGAGGAGGGCAGAACCCACAAAGTCTAAAAACTCCCAGGGCAATGAAAATGTTTGAATTTTATCACCAGGGGGATGAGCCAACCTTTATAACTTTTGTCAGGGTAGTGATTTATGTAGGTTTATATTTTGGAAAGCACTTTCTGGCTACCATGTGAAGGATGTCTGAAGGTAAATGTAGAAGTTGGGAGACAATTATGTGTGCATCCCCTGAAGGAAAATTGTGCAGTCATTTTTCATATTTCAGCATCTAACACAAAGCCAAGGACATAAAGAATTGTCAACAATACAATCAACCATACAACAATTGGAATTAAATAAGAGATATTCATAATCATTTTTTAAAATTATTTATTTAATAACCACATACTTAGAAGAAGCATTTCATTACATCAGCATTGACATATTCAATAACAATTTTCTGGGCTAGGTTGCATCTCTTATAAAATTGGCTGCACATTTTTAGGTTTACAGTTGAATTGTTACAGTTATACAATATTGTACTCAGTATAAACCCTATAAGACATAAAATTAAATGAGGTTTTAACCTTTAAAAAAGATCTCCATAATCATTTTTATTGGCAATAGTTTTGACAAGATTAGATATTCCACATTTAATTTTGACTTTCTTGGTCTAAAGACTGTTTTTCTTTTCTCAATTCATAGAAACCAGACCTGATGGTGCAGGCCCACAGCTCTAGCTGCTTGGCAGGCCAAACCCGGAGAATCTAAAGTATGAGATTTGCCTGGGCTGCAGAGTGAGATAGAGGCCAGCCTGGGCAACTTCATGAGACTCTGTTTCAAAATGAAAAGTAAAGAAGAGAGGTGGGTATATACAGATCAGGGGTAAATCACTACCCTAGCATACAGGCCCCATGCTCAATTTCCAAAACTGCAATGAATAAAATATAAATAATAAATAAATAAATAAATAAATAAATAAATAAGTAAATCTCTCTTCTTGCTATACTCCACATCCAGACAGCTCATCCGCATTTCCCTCCATAAATCTAGCCTCTTTCTGCCAGGCCATGGGGACTTCAGTGACCCTTGTCACCATTTCCCTGGCCCTCTTCTCCATGTATTTGGAAGCCCTTTAAATTCTGGAACTGACCTTGCCTTTTCTGAATCCTGATCAGCTTCCTCCCTCCCTTTACTCTCCTAATACTTTGAACATTACCTCAATAGGTTGAATTCTCACTTCATCTCACTACTCTGCCTCATTGCGCCTTCTCTACAGTCTCCTCAAAGCTGAATTCAGTATACTTTACTCTGGTTCTGCCTCACTTTCCACCAATGATACATATCTAAACCCAACTCAGAAAGGAGTTCTATGACTCTGTCCAGCTCCATGTACAGTTACTCCATCATCCTCCATCCCAAGTGAGGTCAACTTTGAACTATGGAACTCCTGGTTCTGATGGTGTACTGAGTCAAGGTCTGCAACCCTAAATGGGGGTGTAACCTCCACCACTGAGCCACTAGGTCCCACTCCAACAAAGGTAGATTTAGATTTGGAATTAGTCTGGGTCCAAACCTGATGACAATCCAATTATGTATGGTTCTGGACCTTTTAGGCATCAATTTCTCTGTAAGAACAGAGATTTGTTTCTATTGTCATTCTGAATTGCCATTCTGAATCCCTAGTAGCTATTTGCCACAATTATTTTTAATCAGTTCTGGAACTCTGTCTTCTTTTTATATCCATTACTGCAAGCTCTCATCCTTTTGGTAGGTGAACCTTAGCTATTCGACCTGGGGATCAGCATCCCCCAGAGACCTATCTGTCTGTACAACTGATTGCCCTTCCCCATCCTCTATGGACTTCTGAAAAATTGCCTGATACTTGGTCAGAATGTTCAGGGTCAACACGGATGACGAGTCATGTCTCCACCCTGGGAGTTGCTGAGTTGTAGTTGTTTGGAGCTTGAATTAAGGTACTCTCGGTCCATCTAAAAACTAATTTATGACAGCAGCACCACCCTGGCCTTCTCTTAAATATCCAGACTTCCTACATTAATTGTAACATAATCTTCCTTTTTGCTGAATATGCTGCCTGGAATAAAGATCACGAATGTCTAAAGTTTCAGCACTTGTAGGTAAGATCTTTAGAAATGATTGTAAAATCTGAATAATTCTTGACTTTTTTCCAGTTCTTCTTAGGGCATGTGGTACACATTGGGAAATTAATAACTGGCTGTGAAGGAGAAATGCATGAAGAAGTTGAGCATTAGGAACTGTCCAGCATTAACTTGGGTCTTATAAAAGGTTATGCAAAGTATGCACGTCTCATCAGAAAAGTGGGGCTAATAATACTTAATTATTGTATGTATTATAAGGATTAGCTGTAAGTAGTGTACACCCACTGGAATAGGTTGAAAATATCTATAATGTTAATAATATTTTAAGCAAAACTTATGTCAGAGGCACCATTATAGCCATGTAACCAAGCTATTCTTTAAATTTTCAATAGCCTTTATGATCATTTTTAGAACCATAGTTTGGGTGGAAGGTACACAAGGGAAAATGTGTTTTGATGTATATAAAGGCATTTTGATCAACTCCCCCACACTCTCCAGGCCTCTGGCACTCCCAGCATTCCCCCACTGAAGGTCCGTTTCTTACAACTGAGTAAGCCTAAATTTTGTTATTTTTCTCATCCACACTCACTTTTTTGTTTTGTGAGACAGGTCTTGCTAGGTAGCCTGGGATGGTTTGGACACCACATACCCCGGACTGGCCCTGAGCTAGTGTTAATTCCTCTATTTCAGGATCCCAAGTGCTGGGATGTACGTCACTCACATTTTTAAAATACCTATCAGAAGTCAGTTTACTTTCTGAAATCTTTTATGAAATTACTCTTCAAAGCAAAAAGAATGAAAAAGACCATAGTTATCTTTAAAAAAAATGAAGAAAAGTGCATTTTCTGCATCAAAGAGTTTAACTCAGCCAGGGTCCGTAAACATTCTGAACCCATAACAGTTTTATTTTTTGTAGCAGAACCAGGAGGAGCAAGGAAAACTTGTATTCACAGGAGAAGTAGCTTTCATTCAGTGGTGGTTACCCTGAGGTGAAGTGGTAACCTTTAGAAAACATCACAAATTCAGGGGTTGGTCAGTTGGTCAAACGGATGAATTACAGAGATGTGTCTTATTTTGTAGAGATTGATGCTTGTTTACCATCATTCTTTTTCCAACTCACTCTACACACACACACACACACACACACACACACACGCACACGCACACGCACCTTACCTTTAAATATGCTTTTTAAAAAAACATCCTATTTTCTTCTTTTAAACAAAATCGTACATTTTAAAAATTTTGTTTTTATTAAATTTTGTTGTGTTTCATACAGAATATCTCAAACAATCTGAATCATTTTCATATCCCCAGC